TTGACTTTTTTCCCATGTTAAACTTAAATAAACTTTAAAAATCAGTTTACGTTTTTTTTTTTTTCCAGTGGCCCTAATCCTCTTCCGTACCAGATCCCACATCGTCGAGTTTGTGTTTTAGATTTACCTGGAAAATACAGGTCTAGCGCCCCTAGTGGCTAAAAGTTACACAATGTTAATTTAAAAAATTGCAGAAAGAGTTTATTTGCATATAGCTTTAACTTTATGGATTTGTTGATAGCATATATTATGAATAATAGTCTCACCTTTCATAGATTAGTCTTTTTAAGCATATCCAACATTTTAAGTCACTTGTTGAGGCCATTCCATGTGTTATAAGGATTTCTAGGGGTTCTACTCCACCCTATATGAGACGGTGGAGCAGTTCAGCAGCTATTTTTTGCTAGGTTGTTGCCTGGCAGTGTACATCATCTTTGATTGTATTCATGCATGTGTGCCGAGTGAAAATGAAGCCCCTAGGTGTGACAGTGGAAGCATGTGTTGTGTTGCTATCTTTCCGCCATGCAAATCATTACACCCCCTGCAGATAGCTAGAGAATGAGCTCTAAATTGAATTTCCAAGACCGGGAGCCTCATTTTTCCTCATACCAAATCCCCCCCCCCTCCCCTCGCAGCCACCCATTCTCCATCAGATAACACATCTGTCAGTGAGTCAGATACAGAATGGTTTAATGTCCAGCTGACCCAACTGATTAAATAAAGGATTTTCAAAGAAAGACAAAATGAAATAGAATCCATGTCCCACAAGTACTCCAGGGCTTTGCGGCCTTATCTGACAGGAGCAGAAGTGTAAAATAAGGTGGGGGTGGGGTGGTTGACCTTGGCTGCGGTGGAAGGAACATCCTGAGGACGCGGCTTAAACAAAGGAAACGGGACAAAATCAGCTGAATTAAAGGAATGTAGAGAGAGTTTCTCATTTTGGATATAAATGGCTTGAAAGAGTGAAACGTTGGAATAGTCATAGAGCAAACATCCTTTCATTTCAGCTTGGGTTATGTTTAGAATGTCAGTTTACATCTGCTGCTTTATGTCATTCAGTGAGTTGATGGGAGCCCCGTTGACGGGTTGGTGATTCAAATAAGTGTAGATCATCAAATGTTAGGGTTTAAAATCTTTCAGCTGGTTCTGGTCAGCTAACAAGCTTTTCTTAAACATCGACACTACAGAAGTGATACCTAACCGGGAAGAGGAAAATGCGTAGGGGTCCCAAGTTCCTGGGGGTCCGATAAACTCTGTTTACATGTATGG